TACAATGGGTTCTGGACTTTGATCACTACTTTATTCCCTCATAATTTCAGACCTAGGATTGGTAAAATCTTTGCTGTTAAATCCCCAGATGATTGCATTATCCAAGGAATACTTCTTAAAGTGGTGATAAGAGTGAAGACAAATTATTTTTATAAAGAATGCTGATATTATCAGGAAGAGATGGTTGGAGATTGGTACCAAATTGCACAAATTTATAAAATAGTTTTCACAGTATTAATATTGCCTAATATATGTAATATGAAACAGATTTAATTATATAGAAACATTGGGGGAATCATAGGAATCAATGAAAGAAGGATAAAAATTGTTTCAACATATAGCTAATAAAGAGAAATGAATTTGTGAAATAAGTAGACTATGAACTCTGTGAGGGCAAGATGTGTGTCTTATTCATCATTATAATGCCACTGACAAGTGCAATACTTAGTTCTACCTAAGAGTTCAAGGTATGTTTGCAGAATGCTGAAAAGAATGAACCAGTATAAATAGCTTTGTTTAAAAACTCAATGTGATAATTTCTAACAATTTGGAAACAAGAGAAAGGTACCTTAAAGCAGGCTTTATACTTTGTTATTAAATATATGAACATTGAAAACATGGCCTGCTCAGTTAGGCTCACAATTATAATTATCGTACTGGTTAAACTGGGAAAAAAAAGACACTTGCACTCGAATGTTTATAGCAGCACAATTCACAATTGCAAAGATGTGGAAGCAACCCAAGTTCCCATGAATACATGAGTGGATTAATAAAATGTGGTATATGTATACCATGGAGTACCACTCAGCAATAAAAAACGGTGAACTAATAACTCTTGTATTAACCTGGTTGGAACTGGAGACCATTCTTCTAAGTAAAGTATCACAAGAATGGAAAAACAAACACCACATGTACTCACCATTAAATTGGAGCCAACTGATCAACACTTATGTGCATATATGGAAATGACGTTCATCAGAAATCAAGCAGGTGGGAAGGGAGAGGAAGAGATGGGTAAATTCATACCTAACCAGTACAATGCACACTATCTGGATGATGGGCATACTTGTAACTTCGACTCAAACGGTACAAAAGAAGTTTATGTAACAAAAAAGTTTGTACCCCTATAATATTCTGAAATTTTAAAAATGGCAACAAAAAAATACAAAACTAAAACAAAACAAAACAAAAACTGAAGCAGCAGAGGCTGCAGTTTCCCAGCATGGACTCTGGGCGCCGCTGTTGGCCAAAGTGGAGAACTGGGCGCTCGCGATCTCCTCGCGCAGGCGCAGCGCTTTCCAGGGCGGCCCCGTCTGACTCTCCCGCAGTAGCCTGTACACCGCTTCCTCCTGGGGAACAGAAGACACTTTTCCGGACCTGGAACTGGAACTGAAGTCCGTTCGGAGCTCTGGACATCTGCGGTACAGAGGTTATTTACACCCCGGCGTCTCCGGGCTGGTGAGCGAGCTGAGGGGAGCAAGAGGGATGGGGAGCGGCGCTGGGGAGCGGGGCGGCGCTGAGAGGCGGCCGGTGCTCTTTCCCTTCCTGCTGCCTCTGTTCTGCCCGGCGCTGTCCGAGCAGATCCGCTACAGGATTCCCGAGGAAATGCCCAAGGGCTCGGTAGTGGGGAACCTCGCCGAGGACCTGGGGTTCAGTGTGCGGGAGTTCCCGACTCGAAAACTGCGCGTCAGTTCGGAGAAGGCTTACTTCACCGTGAGCGCGGAGAGCGGGCAGTTGCTTGTGAGCAGCAGGCTGGACAGGGAGCAGATATGCGGGAAGAATCCAGCGTGTGCTCTGGAATTTGAGGCTGTTGCCGACAACCCATTGAACTTTTATCACGTGAGTGTGGAGATCGAGGACATTAATGACCACGCGCCAAAATTCACGCAAAATTCCTTTGAGCTGCAAATAAGTGAGTCTGCACAGCCAGGCACACGATTTATCTTGGGATCTGCCCATGATGCGGATATTGGTACCAACTCACTGCAGAATTACCAGCTGAGTCCCAGTGATCATTTCTCACTCGTCAATAAAGAGAAATCAGATGGCAATAAATACCCTGAGCTGGTATTGAAGATGCCTTTAGACCGGGAAAAGCAGAAATCCTACCACTTGACCTTGACTGCCCTGGACTTTGGAGATCCACCCCTAAGCAGCACTGCACAGATAGCGGTCCTAGTGACTGATGCCAATGACAACCCTCCAGTGTTCAGCCAAGACATATACAGGGTGAGCCTTCCAGAAAATGTGTCCCCGGGCACCACCGTGCTTCGGGTGACTGCCACTGACCAGGATGAGGGTATCAATGCCGAGATCACCTTCTCTTTCAGCGAAGCTAACCAGATCACCCAGTTTAACCTGAATTCTAATACTGGGGAAATTACTATTCTAAATACATTGGATTTTGAAGAAGTCAAAGAATATTCCATAATTTTGGAAGCAAGGGATGGTGGAGGAATGATTGCGCAATGTACAGTGGAGATAGAAGTCATAGATGAAAATGACAACGTCCCAGAAGTAATATTCCAATCTCTTCCTGATCTGATTATGGAGGACACCGAGCTGGGAACACACATTGCTTTGCTCAAAATCCGTGACAAGGATTCAGGACACAACGGAGAAGTTACTTGTAAATTGGAAGGTGATGTTCCGTTTAAAATACTCACTTCGTCAAGAAACACATACAAATTAGTGACAGATGGGGTTCTAGATCGCGAGCAGAACCCAGAGTACAATATCACCATCACAGTCACAGACCGAGGCAAGCCTCCGCTCTCCTCCAGCTCAAGCGTTACCCTGAACATTGGTGACGTAAATGACAACGCTCCGGTTTTCAGACAGGCTTCCTATATGGTACACGTGGCGGAGAACAATCCTCCCGGAGTCTCCATAGCTCAGGTCAGCGCCTCCGACCCTGACCTGGGGCCCAACGGCCACATCTCTTATTCCATCGTGGGCAGTGATCTGGAGCCCAGGATGCTGTCGTCCTACGTGTCGGTGAGCGCGCAGAGCGGGGTGGTGTTCGCGCAGCGCGCCTTCGACCACGAGCAGCTGCGCGCCTTCGAGCTGACGCTGCAGGCCCGCGACCAGGGCTCGCCCGCGCTCAGCGCCAACGTGAGCCTGCGCGTGTTGGTGGGCGACCGCAATGACAACGCGCCGCGGGTGCTGTACCCTGCACTGGAGCCCGACGGCTCGGCGCTGTTCGATATGGTGCCGCGCACCGCGGAGCCTGGCTACCTGGTCACCAAGGTGGTGGCGGTGGACGCAGACTCAGGACACAATGCCTGGCTGTCCTACCACGTCCTGCAGGCCAGCGAGCCCGGGCTCTTCAGCCTGGGGCTACGCACCGGCGAGGTGCGCACGGCGCGTGCCTTGGGCGACAGGGACGCGGCCCGACAGCGCCTGCTGGTCGCCGTGCGTGATGGTGGACAGCCGCCCCTCTCCGCCACCGCCACGCTACACTTGATCTTCGCTGATAGTCTGCAAGAGGTACTACCGGACCTCAGCGACCACCCCGCGCCCTCTGACCCCCAGGCTGAGCTGCAGTTTTACCTGGTAGTGGCCTTGGCCTTGATCTCCGTGCTCTTCCTCCTCGCGGTGATTCTGGCCATTGCCCTGCGCCTGCGACGACGTTCCTCCAGCCCAGCGGTCTGGAGCTGCTTTCAGCCTGGTCAGTGTGTCAAGTCTGAACCTGTGGTTCCTCCCAACTACAGCGAGGGGACTTTGCCTTATTCCTACAATCTGTGCGTGGCACACACGGGAACAACGGAGTTTAATTTCCTAAAATGTAGTGAGCAATTGAGTTCAGGACAAGACATACTTTGCGGTGATCCATCTGGGGCCTTGTTTCCACTTTGTAATTCCAGTGACTCGACTTCCCCTCAGGTGAGTTTCCTACTTCTCATTGTGTACCCAATTCTCCGTTTCACAGGAAAGTGTACATATTCACAGGAAAATGTGCAATTTTCAGATCTTCTGAGTCACTTAAAGAAAGTTATAGTCAGCTAAAAAGCTGTCATACCATTCTTCAAAGGAGGACTAAAGTGAAACAATCATGTAGCTTATGGGGGTTTTCTACCAAGCTGAGATTTACAAAGCAATGATGGTTTTACCTACAAAGAGAAAACCTTAGATAATGTTATGGGCTGTCTCCTAAAAAGGTAATGAGATTTTTCCATACATTTTTCTTTCTGTTGCCTAATATACAATAAATACTTGTTTCAGTTTGGACATGCTATAAATATAAAAATAATCATTTAAATAAACCTTTAAGGTAAAGGAATTTAAGATAAAATTAGATATTTTTCTTCACTATTTTTTTTTGAGACAGGGTCTTACTGTGTCGCCCAGGTTGTAGTGAAGTGGTGCTATCATAGCTCACTGCAACCTCAAACTCCTGTGTTCAAGTGATCCTCCTGCTTCAGCCTCCTGAGCATTAGGACTACAGGCTCATGCCACTGTGTCCACCTAATTTTTTTAGTTTTTTGTAGAGATGGGATCTTGCTATCTTGCTCAGGCTGGTCTCAAACTCCTGGCCTCAAGGGATCCTCCCACCTTGCCCTTCCAAAATGCTAGGATTACAGGCGTGAGCCATCACACCTGGCCTCCTTCGCTAATTTGATTGGCATGGTTTCCATACTAATCTATTTTGTTTCTGGTATTTATTTCCCTTTTGTTTCAAAACCTCCTAGAATAAGGTCTCTTCAACTAGATTTTTATATCCATGGATCACTTGTAATTTTATGCAATGTACTGGGGAGTATGTGTGTGATCATTTTGCTTAGCAAAAGGTCCATTATGTTCATCAGAAGATCAAAAGTAGGTTCTCTTTACTTGCAGCATAGGTTTTTCAGAGTTAATGTGTACTGAAGCTCATTCAATAGGCTCCTCCCTCAAAGAAAAGATAAACTGCTTTGGCTCTGTTGCTTCTCTCACACATACTCCAAATATATAATTTTTAGCTGTCTTCTTTGCAACCCTAAGCTAATATAACTAGTAGTCTTCTACTCATTCTGTGTCTAGGAGAGAAATATAGTCTTGAATTTTTCAAATTTTTAGACAAAACCAACAATCTGATATGCATACACAGTATATACAAATGACCATACTACATTGTATGAGGCTTTTGCTAGGTATTCCTAAGCAACTGCTTCTGTTAATGGCCATTTTACAAACTGCTGAAGGAAAGAGACATTTTTTGCGGTCACACTTGTTCGACTTCTTAGTGATCATTATGTGTTCTTTATATTTTGTGCTTCTTTAGATCAAAGTATTAATGTAGGTAAAATTAACTTTAGAATATATGTCTACCTTAAAAAGTTAAGTCTGCTTTAAAATGTAATCTTTCTTTGGTGGAAGGGGTAGGGATAGAGATTCACTTTCTGTGGTATATTCATTTGTACCTTTCAAGTACTTACTATTCAAATAGAAAAATATAAATAATTTGAATAAATAACAAAACAATGTAATTTCTCATAAAACTGCAATTGTAAAACATATATCCTATTAAGATTTCATAATATTTGAAAACATTATCAATGTGTGATAAAAAGGGCATTTAGAAAGAAGATTAAAAAGCAACAACTCTATAGAAAGCTTCTATAGTGGTTAATTAGTTTAAAACAAATGAAACAACTTCTGAGTAAATCATCTCCAATACACTTATTTTATACTCTTAAAATTCATTTCTAGTGACAACCGAAGTTCTTATTTGTTAATATACATTGAAGACATTTACAAGAAAGCTTACAGCACAATGGGAAATAAAATTATCATATTTTTAAAGAGCAAATGTATTCCAGAAATGTAATTTAATATGATGCTAACCCAACAATCTAATCATTTAATAGTATTTAATACTTAATAAAACCACCTCATTTCATCCCACACTCCGCGGTAATTTCTTTTAAAATGTGTATTTAGGGAAAAATTAAATAAATTCAAAACAAAGTAATAGAAAGCAAGTAGTATTTTTTTTCAGTAATCTAACAGTATTACATATGAAGTGATCTGTATCTAAGTGCAATAACTGCTTAGGACTCTAAGCGCCGCTGTTTACCTACTGGGAGAGAAATGCAGTCGAAATGCCATCCAATACTCTGGGCTTACACCTCGCAGACCAGCAGATCCCACAAACCAACTGCTGGGCTGCAGCGAAATTCCGTCCCTATTTTGGCCCACACCAGCTTTCCGTAAGATTATGATCTCCACAGCTGCGGCAAAAAAACTAAACAAGACACATACGCACAGTGAAGATTCTGAAAGAATTCTGTAGTGAAATAACAATGGCCGCTCCAAAGAATCACCGAGGACGCAGCAAGCTGATCCTGCTGTGCGCGGTGCTGGGGACGCTGTGGGATATCGGGACAGGACAGATTCGCTACTCTGTGTCTGAAGAGACGGACAAAGGCTTCTTCGTGGGCAATATCTCCAAGGACCTAGGACTGGAACCCTGGGAGCTGGCGAAGCGTGGAGTGCACATCGTCTCCAGAGGTAGGACACAGCTCTTTGCTCTAAATCCGAGAAGTGGCAGCTTGGTCACCGCGGGCAGGATAGACCGGGAGGAGCTTTGCGCTCGGAGCGTCCGGTGTCTGATAAATATTAACATCCTGGTTGAGGACAGAGGAAAACTCTTTGGGATAGAAATAGAAATCACTGATATTAACGATAATAACCCGAAATTCCAGGTCGAAGACCTGGAAGTAAAAATTAACGAAATCGCTGTTCCTGGAGCACGTTATCCACTCCCAGAAGCTGTTGACCCAGATGTGGGAGTGAATTCCCTGCAGAGCTACCAGCTCAGCCCCAATCCCCACTTCTCCCTGGACGTGCAAACTGGAGACGATGGGACCATAAGCCCAGAGCTGGTGCTGGAGCACGCCCTGGACCGAGAGGAAGAGGCTGCTCACCACCTGGTCCTCACCGCCTCTGATGGCGGCGACCCGCGTCGCTCTAGCACAGTGCGCATCCATGTGACAGTGTTGGATACAAATGATAACGCCCCGGTTTTTGCTCACCCAGTTTACCGAGTGGAAGTCCTTGAGAATGTGCCCCCGGGCACCCAGCTGCTTACTGTAACAGCTAGTGACCCGGATGAGGGAGCCAATGGAAAAGTGGCATATAAATTCCGGAAAGTTAATGAAAAACAATCTCTATTATTCCAGCTTAATGAAAAAACTGGGGAAATATCAACAGCAAAAAGTCTAGATTATGAAGAATGTTCATTTTATGAAATGGAAATACAAGCTGAAGATGTGGGGGCACTTCTGGGCAGGACCAAAGTTCTCATTTTAGTGGAAGATGTAAATGACAATAGACCAGAAGTGATCATTACATCTTTGTTTAGCCCAGTGTTGGAAAATTCTCTTCCGGGAACAGTAATTGCCTTCTTGAGTGTGCATGACCGAGACTCTGGAAAGAACGGTCAAGTTGTCTGTTACACACGTGATAATTTACCTTTTAAACTAGAAAAGTCAATAGATAATTATTATAGGTTAGTGACTTGGAAATATTTGGACCGAGAAAAAGTCTCTACCTACAATATTACAGTGATGGCCTCAGATCTAGGAACTCCGCCTCTGTCCACTGAAACTCACATTGCCCTGCATGTGGCAGACATTAATGACAATCCGCCTACTTTCCCTCAGGCCTCCTACTCAGCCTATATCCCAGAGAACAACCCGAGAGGCGCCTCCGTCTTCTCATTGACTGCAAACGACCCTGACAGCCAGGACAACGCACAGGTCACTTACTCTGTAATTGAGGACACCCGCCAGGGGGCATCCCTATCCTCGTACGTCTCCATCAACTCAGACACCGGTGTGCTGTATGCACTGCAATCTTTCGATTATGAACAGATGCAAGACTTGCAATTACTGGTGACCGCCAGCGACAGCGGAAACCCTCCACTCAGCAGCAACGTGTCGCTGAGCCTGTTTGTGCTGGACCAGAACGATAACATTCCCGAGATCCTGTATCCTGCCCTACCCACAGACGGTTCCACTGGCGTGGAGCTGGCACCACGCTCTGCAGAACCTGGCTACCTGGTGACCAAGGTGGTGGCAGTGGACAAAGACTCGGGCCAGAACGCCTGGCTGTCTTATCGCCTACTCAGAGCCAGTGAGCCTGGTCTCTTCTTGGTGGGGCTGCACACAGGCGAGGTGCGCACAGCGCGGGCCCTGCTGGACAGAGACATGCTCAAGCAGAGCCTCGTGGTGGCCGTCCAGGACCATGGCCAGCCCCCTCTCTCAACCACCGTCACTCTCACCGTGGCTGTAGCCGACAGTATTCCCGAAGTCCTGGCTGATCTGGGCAGTCTCAAGCCTTCAACCAACCCAGAGGACTTGGACCTCACGCTGTACCTGGTGGTGGCCGTGGCAGCAGTCTCCTGTGTCTTCCTCGCCTTTGTCCTTGTGCTCCTGGGGCTCAGGCTGGGACGCTGGCACAAGTCACGCCTGCTCCAGGCTTCTGGAGATAGTAGGTTGGTAGGCATGCCTGCCTCACATTTTGTGGGTGTTGACGAGGTACAGGCTTTCCTGCAGACCTATTCCCATGAGGTCTCCCTCACTGCAGACTCGAGAAAGAGCCACCTTATCTTTCCTCAGCCCAACTATGCCGACACACTCATCAGCCAGGAGAGCCGTGAGAAAAATGATTCTTTGTTAACACCCATAGATTTTCACGACTGTATTGATGAAGGTGCTCATGCTCAGGTGAGTTCAGTTCTTTGTTTACTTTTATTTTGCAAAGGAATTTTATTTGATATAAATTTGACTTATGTTTTGAAAATGTGAAGACACTTAAAAATAATTTTTAAGGCATTTCGGTTTATTTTAATGATGTTACTATAAAACTGAATTATAATAGTCATAGGTTGTTCATTTGCTTTTGAAAGGTTTGAACAAGATTTTTAAGCCTCCCACTATTTTAGTCCTGTTGTCACTCATTCACTTAAGAAGTACCTACTCACCCATCATGGTAGTTTTGCTATTATGCAGGTGTGTGTATATATGTCCTAAATTAGAACTGCAGAAAAATTATTGAGACTTCTAAATGCTTATACCAGCTTAGTAAAAGTAAAATACATCTCAGAATTTGGGATTATGTTTAGGGTTTGATCCTACAACTAGGCTCTTGAAGATTTCTTGAATTTAAACTTCTTTTCGGAGCCCTTCTGCAACAGTATCCTTTAAAGCTTTACTGCTTCTTACCATCTTTCAAAATACAAACAAATTTTAAAGGGTGGATCTTGGTGGGAGGTGAGACTGGTTCCTAAATGTTAAATGTGTGTGTCAGTGGTCACCTGGGCCCAATACCAAAGGAGACATGAAATCTAAAGGCTAGAATGGCCGTTTGTTGCCCCCAAATAAAAAACAAAAGCAACAAAATCAGATCTGAAATAAAATGTCATTTTAAATTGTTGAAAGTGATTTGGTAGAGTGCAAAAGAACACATTGTTAAGAGAGTTTGAATGAGCTGTTTCAGTTTTGCATCCATGTGTAATGGTGAGAGAGCATAAGTATGTTGATTTTAAGAACAAAAATTTCAAGGACACTAATTCTAAACAAGCTGATCTATTCAATTAAAAATGATTCAGTCTAGGACTGAGCACAGTGCCACCCAGGTGTAGTCTCAGCTACTAGGGAGGCTGAGGCAGGAGGATTGCTTGAGGCC